TGTTTTGGAGGCTGTCAGTCCAGCCCAGCCTCGAACTCACAGAGATCCGCCTGCCTCTGCCTCCCGAGTGCTGGGATTAAAGGCACACCTCATGACTACCTGGCTGCAACCAACACTCTTAATGGAGTGTGGAGCAACAAAAGAAGGGTACCACAGTCTGTGGAACGCAAGGGGAATATAGAGATCTCCAAGTGTCCTGTCGAGACCTTGGCTTCCAAGAAGTTACCTCAGAGGGTGGGAAAGTGTTTTTCAACGTGCTGAAACTGCTGTCACAATCCAATCTATTTCCTCGGAAGAGAACTTTCTGCTCCTGAGTTGGAAATTGCTTTGGAGGACTTCACATTTCTCCTTTGAGGTGCCAATCACAATCGCAATGGAAATCATTAGTTGAGTAACAAACCTATGCCAGCCTCTTCCACTTGACAATAAATCCCAAGGGATTGGGAACTTCGTCCCAGGGGTCACCCCCCCCCATCTACAGGACTCCTTGCATCTTAGGTGATCAGCAAACACCAGAGCAACAGTTACAGAAGTAACCCATCCAGCTCTGTCTCCCAAGCTGGAGATCCTAACCAAGGTGTGAATTTGTCCAGCACTTCTCCTACCTACCTGCCCCAGGGCTCTGGAGGCTGCAGGAGATTCCCTCCTCTCATTTTCTACTCGGGGTGAGCCAAAGGATAAAATGCTGTAGTGTGTAAACAAACCCTGTGAAGTCAAACAAATGACTAGTCCCTGGCTGTGGTACTAGTGGATCTAGTGCCACTGCTTGCCAAACGTGGGAGGAGAGTGGCCAGGAGTCGTTGAAGGTCATCTTTAGCTACTAAGCCAGCTCAAGACCTCTATGGGCTAATCTCTCTCTCTCTCTCTCTCTCTCTCTCTCTCTCTCTCTCTCTCTCTCTCTCTCTCTCAAAACAAAACATAGCTCTCTTTTCCGATGCTCCTCTGAAGAGGCAGGCAGGTCTTTGCCCCCTCCCTCTCTGTTTCTCTCTCCCTTCTCTCCCTTCCCTTCCCCCAATAAAATTCCCCACATTTAAATACATAAACAAAGAGAAAGAAGGAAAGGAAAAAAGAAATCTAGTTACAGCCGCCTTTCACAAACTCCAAGCACAGTAGTTGTGCTCAGATCCTGAGAGTTCCAGAACAGCCAGGACTATTACACAGAGAAACTCTGCCTCAGAAAGCAAAAACAAAAAAACAAAAAGCAATCAAGTTGAAGGCCCAGCATGGTGGCGCACGCCTTTATCCCAGCACTCAGGAGGTAGAGACAGGTGAATCTCTGTGAGCTTGAGGCCAGCCTGGTCTACATGGAGAGTCCCAGGATGGCCAGGGCTACATAGTGAGACCCTTGGCACAAAAATGAAGGAAAATAGTTAGATTAAGAGCTGGCGAAATGTCTGTGTGTAAAGATGCCTGTCCTTAGTTTGATGTCTGGGTCCCAAAGGGTGGAAAGGAAGCATAGACTCTTTCAAATTGTCCTCTGACCTCCACACACAATCAGTAACTTAAAAAACCAGCGGGGGAGCCGGGTGGTGTTAGTGCACACCTTTGATCCCAGCACTCGGAGGCACAGACAGGCAGATCTCTGTGAGTTAGAGGCCAGGATAATCTACAGAGTAAGCTCCAGGACAGCCTCCAAAGCCACAGAGAAACCTCACCCACAAAAAAAAAACAAACAAACAAAAAAAAACATAACCATCTGGGAGTTGGTGGTTCACACCTTTAATCCCTGCACTTGGGAGGCAGATGCAGGTGGATCTCTGTGAGTTTGAGGCCAGCCTGGTCTACAGAGTGAATTCCAGGACAGAGAGGTCATACAAAGAAACCCTGTGTTGGAAATCAAAACAAACAAAACAAAAAATATACAGTCAATCTGGGAACAAAAGCAGTACAATAAAAAGAACTCTGGGATAAATATCACAATCACTAAAGTGGCAGAGGCAGGAGAATTATGGAAAGTTTGAGGCCAGCCTGCACAGCTACCTCAGGGATAAAGGATTCACAAAGCTTCCATTGGAAGGCTTCTAGTAGGAGACACTTTAGTTGAGGGCAGTGTTCAGGGTAAGTGGAAAGCCATCAGAAACCTTAGCTTAGCTTAGTCACTATGTGGTTTTCCCGATGTGTGTAAGAGTTGCTGGTGTTGTGGAATAACCTTGTTGTACACTGTGAAGATGTGTCTTCGCCAAGGTGCCTTCTGATTGGCTTAATAAAGAGCTGACTGGCCCATAGCTAGGCAGGAAGAGGTTAGGTGGGACTTCCCGGCAGAAAGAACAAGAAAAGAAGAATCTAGATGAGGCCTGAGAGAGAAACGCCAGAGGAGGCCTGGAGGAAGCTGGACATGCAGGAGGAGAGGTAAAAATCACGAGTCACGTGGCAGCACATAGAATAATAGAAATGGGTTAATTTAAGTTTTGTTGTTGTGGTTGTTGTTTTGGTTTTTCGCAACAGGGTTTCTCTGTGTAGATTTGGAGGCTGTTCTGGAACTAGCTCTTTGTAGACCAGGCTGGTCTCAAACTCACAGCACTTGGGATGCAGAGTCAGGCGTATCTCTGTGAGTTAGAGGCCAGCCTGGTCTACAGAGCTAGTTCCAGGCCAGCCTCCAAAACAATACAGAGAAACCCTGTCTCGAAAAACCCAAAAAATAAAAAATAAAAAAGATGTGTGCCACCAATGCCCGGCCACATACATGTGTCAGGGTATTTTGAGACATCTCTTTTGTATTTTTATTTTTTTACATTCCAGTCCCAGCTACCCCTCCCTCCTCTCCTCCTGCTCCCCCCATTCCTCCTGTCTTCCCATCTGCTCCACAGAGAGGGTAAGGCCTCCCCTAGGAAGTCTACTAAGTCTGTCCCATCATCTCCTTAAAGCAGGACCAAGGCACCTCCCCACCCCCACACCCCTGGAGACATCACTCTTTTTTTTTTTTTTTGATTTTTGTTTTGTTTTTGTAGATAGGCTTCCTTCCTTCCTTCCTCCCTTCCTTCCTTCCTTCCTTTTGGTTTTTCTAGATAGGGTTTCCCTGTGTAACAGTCCTGGTTGTTCTGTAAACCAGGCTGGCCTTGAACTCAGTTTTCCACCTGCCTCCGCCTCCCGAGTGCTGAGATTAAAGCTGTGCACCACCACTGACAGGTCTTTAATTTTTTAACAATTTAAAAAATTCTAAGTTATTTTTATTTTATGTGCATTGGTGTTTTGCCATGGGTGTTGGGTCTCCTGGAACTGGAATTACAGTTATGAGCTGCCAGGTGGGTGCTGGGAATTGAACTCAGGTCTTCTGAAAAAGCAGTCAGTGCCCTTAACCACTGAACCATCTCTCCTGACCACCCCCTTTTTAAACATATTAAAACAATTTATCCTCACTTTGTGTGCATTGCTACTTTGTCTGCATGTAGGTAGGAACTCCCTGTCCATCTCTCTAGCCAAGACAGAGCTGACTTGCTGTCAGCAGCCCCAGTGATCCTTCTGTCTCCCCCAACTCCATCTTCTTCCAAGTACAAGCAGCCATCCAGGCTGAGGATTTGAATTCAGGTCTTCATGCTTGGACCTGAGCAAGTGTTGTTACCCACTGAACCATCTCCACATTTAACTTTTTTTTTTCTTTGTTTTTCAAGACAGGGTTTCTCTGTGTAACAGTCCTGGCTCTCTCCTGGAACTCTATTTTTAGGCCAGGCTGACCTTGAACTCACAGTTTTCTGCCAGCCTCTGCCTCCTGAGTGCTGGGACTAAAGAAAGGTACACACCACCAATGCCTGGCCACATTTAACTTTTTTTTTTTTTTTTTTTTTTTTTTTTTTTTTGGTTTTTACCAGACAGGGTTTCTCTGTATTGTTTCGGAGGCTATCGGTCCAGCCCGGCCTCGAACTCACAGAGATCCGCCTGCCTCTGCCTCCCGAGTGCTGGGATTAAAGGCGTGTGCCACCACTGCCCGGCCCACATTTAACTTTTTTGTTGTTTTTTTCTAGACAGGGTTTCTCTGTGCAGCCCTGGCTGTTCTCGGACTCAGAGATCCTCCTGCCTCTGCCTTCCAAGTGCTGGGATCCAAAGTGTGTGCTTTCTTTTTCTTTTTCTTTTTCCAGACAAGGTTTCTCTGTAGCTTTAGAGCCTGTCCTGGAACTCGCTCTGTAGATCAGGTTGGCCTCAAACTCAGAGATCCATCTGCCTCTGCCTCCCAAGTGCTGGGATTAAAGGTGTATGCTTTATGCCCAGCTACATTTAACTTTCTTAAAAGATGTGTAATTCTATTTCTGTGTATGCATGTGTGCACAGGTGCCATGCAGGACAAAAGACCACGTTAGATCCCTGGAGCTGGAGGGACAGACAGTGTTTGGGTGCTGGGGATTGAACTTGGGTCAGTACCTTCACCTCTGGTCCTCTCTCTTGTCCTCTTCTTGACCCTCTATGTAACTCTTTGATAGTGCTGCCTCCAGTTCTAGACAAGAAGCACAATGTGATGGAAAAACCCTCAGATGGTCAAACATCCTCCCTGTCACACTGATGTCCAATATGGGGGGAAAACAGGCCTCAGTCAGGAGAGTCCCACTGGGATCCTGGCTCCATGGCTTCAGCAATATTATTTCACCTCAAGTGCAAATCTCTTCCAAGCTGGTTGCAGCTTCAGACAAGTGGCTTCCTGATACCCAGATCAGGGCCACCTTAGTCAGAAAACAACATTGCCATTTATTAGTGCCCAGTGCTAGACATGCCAAATGGGTGACAGGATTGGCCACCCAAGCAATGGTAGACTTTGTTTTGTGGTGCCAGGGATCAAGCCCAGGACCTTACACAGGTGGCAAACTCTGCCACGGAGCCTCAGCCACATCCCAGTTGACTTCCAATGCCAGCAATCCTCAGTCTTGCAATTACTGGGCACAGACACAGGCTGGGCAGAGGCCATGAGGTTAAGGCCATGAGGTTAAGGCCATGACGCAATCACAACTTTTGGCTTATGCTAGGAGGTGAACTCTGACCTTCAGGAAATGGACAAACATCCCATTAACAAGGACTACAAAACAAACCTCAGCGAACTTTTATTTCTCTTACCTAGAACTGCTTACAAGGAAGGCCAAAGACTTCTGCACTTTAACAATGGATACCCTTCCCACCCACCCAAGGGACACCGAGAGTCATCATGTCCCCTCTAGAATGTACCCCCATGCTGAGGCCCCCTCCACTCTTGTCCACCTTCATTGAGGGAGGGCTTTCAAGCCTGGAGGGGGCACTAGTTGTGTCCCGTGCCTGCACGGGTATGAAATGTGGCACACGGGCCAGGCTCCTGTTCTGCCTGGCCCAATGAAGGAGAGTCGGAAACAGCAGCAGTGTGTCCTTGACTGGCCCAGAGGAGGCACCTACTTACTGCTGGTGGAAGGGAAGGGAAGTCAGAATTCACAGTTGTTTTTTCTATGTAAAGTGCCTATCAGTCCTTGGCTGCTTCTGCCAAGCAATTCATTTAAATCCAGGAGAGGGGACAGATGGGTCACTGGGGTGGGGGAGGTATCCCTTGGAAGGTTGGCTGTACACTAAGGGTCCCCAGAGGCCTTCAAGGTCTTGCAAGAAAATCAACCTGCTGTTGATGGTTTGGACTGAGAGGCCAAAGGCAAGTGTCAAACCTTGAGAAACTGAAGCCATCCCTTAGGTCTGCAACCATGAGGTCCAAGAGGCGCAGCAATGTCACCAAGAGAAAGAACCTTGGTATCTGCCACTTGCTGGATGGGCCGTGGTGCCAGCTAAGAAAGGCTCAATGTTTTGGCAAGCATTCTTGGCAGAGCCCGAGGGATCAGAAGAAAGGACTACCGGCCTCTGCATGGTAATACGGTCTAGAACAGGACCATCTCCCTCCTAGGACTTGACTCTGGCTCCAGTGAGGTCCTTAAGAGGCCAGACCTTGTCCATAAGACCCAAATACAGAGTTCATTGGCATTTACTCCTTACTCTTCAGACAGCAGAGGGATTGACATGGGATCCAACTCTCCAGAGACAGTATGTTCTTTGGATGTGTTTGGCCCCTCTCCCGGGCCCTACCCCAACAGGCATGGGAGAAAAGGGAATGAGGGCAAAGGAGACACAAAAGAACTGAACCAATATTCAGGCAACCAAAAACCAGGCTGCCCAGCAGAACAGGCTTTGGGGAAACTGGGCACACAGACCAGCTGTGAGTCCGACGTTCACATTGATGGGTGGAAGGCAGGAGGGAGGTAATGAAATTGTAGAATGAGGAGGGGGAAGGTGAGCTTCCTGGAGTGTTCCCTTGAGGTCTGTGCTCCTTTCCTCCAGGGGCAGTCAGGGGCTTCCCAGTCCAGGACCATCTTAGTACTTGTGCTGGCCTATAAATCTGAGCTCAACCCATTCTCCTTCAGTTGTTTTTAGGAACAGGAAAGACAAAGTGGTATGGCCTCTTGGGCTTTCCTAGACTTCCCGCTCCAGGGGCAGAGCTGAGACCCAAAGTCAGTGCAACAATCCTGTCCAGTCCAGTGAGAGAAAAGAAGGTGTGCTTGCCCAGGGAGCTGCACACCACGCACATGCCCATCCCCAGCATTCGGTGGATGGACATGAGACAGAAAGGGCCCTGGATCTGTCTCCAGACACAGAAATCCTTGTAGAGAGGACAGTGCCCCAGGGTTAGCCGCTCCGGGTGCTGGTCCTGCGTGGGAAGGAGTCAGGTCATGTAGCGGGTGATGGCACGGAGTGCATAGAGCAGGGCTGCTTGCATTCGGGCCTCCAGGAGCAACAAGTTCACGTGAACCTAGGGACAGAGAGGGAGGCTTGCTGACAACTGCTCTGCAGCCCTCTCCCTCCAGTCTACTAGTTCCCGGCATTCACTCACCCACGCCTCCCACTGAGATGCCCCGACCTGTGCTAGGGCTCTGTGCAATCTGATGCGGTGACTGCTGAGGGAGTCCCCTGTCCCCTGTGGTGACTAACCACCTTATCTCACAAGTCTCAAAGAAGAGCTACCATTAAGTGGCTCCAGTGCAGGATCAAACGTTTCCTTATATAGTCTCATTGTGCCTTCCCAGCTTTGAAATGCAGGCAGGCAGTGTCTCTTCTCATTATAAAGGGGAAAAGCTCAAAGATGCAAGGTCACATGTCCAAAGTCACAAATGCTCCTATGTGAGACAGACTTAAGATTCGAACCTATCTGTGCCTGCCAAAATGCCACTGAAAGCCCTGTGGGAAAGCCCAAGTGCCCGATTTAAATGAAGTCTGAAATTGCACAGTGGAATAGGATTTAACCAAGGACAACAGGCCCAGTTTCCCACTGGGATCCTCACTGGGTCCTACTCTCTAGCTCTTCCACAGGCCTGGCTTGGCTGTTCTCACATCCACACTGCGGTCACCTTCTCTGAGTGGCGGAAGTGCCTCCAGAAGAGGCTGTACATCCTGCGGGTGGTCTTCTCTGGGTAGCAGGCCACTGTCTTGATATAAATTTTGAGGTTCCTTTCCAGGAGCTGGTTTACCTCCCCATAGTCGTAGTCATCGTATCTGATGGAAAGACCCGGACAGTGTTACTCATACCCTACTCTCAGAAGCAGAGTGGCCCACCTGCCCCCACCCTACAGAAGGAGGAACAGAGAGCGGCAAGAAAAGCCAGAAGGTAGGAAGTAACCAGAAGCCTGGTTCCTCTCAGAAAACAGCTGACATCACGCGTCATAGGTTACCAGGCTCACAGAGGACCACTCTAAGCCACACTAACAACGAGCAAACACCATTGAACTCTGACTGTGCCCGTGACAATCCTACAAACTAGATACTCTGTCATATTCAATATACTGTGTCATCAATTTCATTTTACTGAGATTCAAAGAAGGCTCTTGCCCTCAACAGCAGGGAATGATTTCAAATCCAGCTCTCCTGCACTCACTGTCCTATAGAAAGGACAGGAAGGTCAGTGCATGTTGATCCTAGAGAACGAAGCGGTGATGGGGAAAAAGGAGACAGTGCTGACTCCAGACAGGCAAGCTAAGGTCTAGCTAGGGAACCAATTAACTGGTTCAAAATTCAGAAGCAAGTTGGCAGTGAGTCTAGAAGCCACTTGTCTCTCCCCAGCCCAGTTATATACGTGCATGGGAAAAACAGGAAACACCTGAATAATAAAGTTATCTCTTGGACAATTTTGGTGTTTTTTGTTTGTTTTAGTCTTTTTGTTTTATTTTGAGACAGGGTTTTCTCTGTATAGCTCTGGCTGTTCTGGAACTCACTCTGTAGACCAGGCTGGTCTTGAACTCCTAGAGATCTGTCTGCTTCTGCCTCTCAAGTGCTAGAATTGAAGGCATGTGCCACCAATGTCCAGCAATTTTGATGTTTTTTTTCTTTTAATTTTTAATTTTTTAGAGCCCTATAGCCTAGCTGGTGAACTTGTTATATAGTGAAGGATCACCTTGAACACCTAACTGATCCTCCTGTCTTTGCCTTCCCAGTGCTGGAATTACAGGTATTAGTAAAAAAACAAGTCAAGAGCCGGGCGTTGGTGGCGCACGCCTTTAATCCCAGCACTCGGGAGGCAGAGGCAGGTGGATCTCTGTGAGTTCGAGGCCAGCCTGGTCTACAAGAGTTAGTTCCAGGACAGCCTCCAAAGCCACAGAGAAACCCTGTCTCAAAAACCCAAAAAAAAAAACAAAACAAAAACAAACAAACAAACAAAAAAAACAAGTCAAGAAAGAAAGGAACGCTGGGCGGTAGTAGCTCATGCCTTTAATCCCAGCACTCGGGAGGCAGAGGCAGGAGGATCTCTGTGAGTTCGAGGCCAGCCTGGTCTACAAAGTGAGTTCCAGGACAGCCTCCAAAGCCACAGAGAAACCCTGTCTCGAACCAACGCCCGGCCCAAAGATGCCTTCTTGAGGGTGGGGAGAAGAGAAGCTTAGGAAGAAAAAAAAAAAACCGTAACAACAGAAAAGAAAAAAAAAAAAAAAAAACCCTAACAACAGAAAAGAAAAAAAAATAACCCTGTAGACAACCTAAATACTCACATCATATCACTCAGTAAAAAATATTCCTAAACAAACAAGCAAACAATAATGACAACAACAAACACAGCAAGTGGACAGGCAATATGGCTCAGTGGGTAAAGGAGCTTGCCATCTAGAGTGATAGTCCCAGTTTGATCCCTCTGCCCCACACAGTGGAAGGAGAGAACCAACTCCAGCAAGTTTTCTTTTGATCTCCACATGAATGCTGTGTCACACATGTGTACGCATACATATGCATAAACACAAATAAAACATTTTCAATTAGAAGAGATTTAGCAAGATAAAAAAAAATATTTTGTACAGAGATGGTGGATAACCTCTCACATGCCTGACTTCTGGTCATAACTTTCATGACTGCATAACAGGTTATGAATGGAAACATAATTATTTCAAGTCTACTACTGATGGGTATCTGTGCTGTCCTTACTATGAGAAAAGATGTGTTATTTGGAAATTTAAACATGAGTCTATAGCATGGTAGTCTACAGGGTGAGTTCCAGGATAGCCGGGGCTGTTACACAGAGAAGCCCTGTCTTGGAAAACCAAAAAACATGAGTCTATGTAGTGTATACATATGTTTATGTTTGTATTTGTGTAGAGGTACCTGAATACACACACGAGCCCATAGCTAAAGTGCTTTGGTAGATCAGGCCTTTAAGCCCAGCAGCACCTAAGAAGCTAAGGCAGGAGGATTGTCAAGAGCTCAAGGCTGACCTGAAGCATACAGTTCTAGGCTAGTCTGGGTTACCCTGCTTCCAAACATCAAAAATAAATAAGTAAAACGACATAAAACAACATAAGATAAAATAAGAGTGCTTGTCTAGTATGCACAAAGTCTTGGGTTCAATTCTTTGTATTACACGACAAACAAAGCAAAGCTCAGTTGTCTCTGGGAGAGTGCTTAAAGAGGCATATCAGCTTTAAGCCTGCGAAGACATAAATTTGCCTTGAAAGATTATTATAGGCAAGAAGAAAGATTAAAAATGACAGTATGCTCAAGAAAGATTTATGGCATACACATGACCTAAACCTGGGGAACACTTGCTCACCTGATGCCAAAGACACAGTGGATGTAGTTCCAGATGGCCCTGCGGAGCATCGAGGTGTCCACACCACTGTGCATGGCGATGGTGTTATAGGTGAGGCTGTAGGCAACCTGAAACTTCTCATCCAGCAGCTGTCCTCCCTCAGGGTAGAGCCGCTGGATCAGTGAGTAGCCATGGTCTTCCCAGGTATAATCCTGAGGAATGAGGGAAGAGGTCAGTGAGCAAGACTTGGGAAGTCCAAGGCTGACCAGAGATCTGTCCTCTGGAACTCTAGAATTTACACCTTAGCTTTGTATAACATACCCTCCCGCACTACAATCTGATACACCATCGATGGACCTGAGAAACCAACCAGGATGTCCCAGGATGATGACCTTTCCCCTGAATTGGGATCTTTTAGGTCTTCACTGCCCTAACAGGTTTTTGTTTTGTTTTGTTTTTCCTGGAACTAACTCGTAGACCAGGGTGGTCTTGAACTCAGAGATCCATCTGCCTCTGCCTCCCAAATCCTGGGATTACAGGTGTGCGCCACCACTGCCTGGCACCCTCATGGGTTTTAGAGGGGAGAAGGTAACCAACTTAGGAATCATCGAAAAAGGCCCCTGCTTCTGTGCAAATCTAAGGCAATGAACACCAACAGTGCAGGGAGCCTCACCTGGGCTCGGAAGGTAGGCGGAGCCTGAGTCCCTCGACGAGTGAAATCTTCATATCCGAAAGTGGGGTCTTCCACAAAGCACAGAATGTCTGGGTGTGGAGACGGCTCCAGGATATCCGCTGAGGGCCAGAAAGAGGTGTCAGTGAAGCTGAGCCTAGAGCTCCACATCATCAGAGAGGTCAGGGGAGGAACCGTAGGGGACCAACAGAGAGGCCCTCCCCACACTAAGTGGGAGGACTACTTAGAGCCACTCCTGGGGAGGAGGAGACTCCTGCCCAAGAACCCAGAAGGCAAGGCGCCCGGTAACAGTGACAGTGGTAGTTCCATGGGATGGCTCAACCTGGGAAAGGCTCTAAGCCTGGCTACATCTACCCAACACAAACCCTGAAGGGCTAACAGACCAGGGTTCAAAGGAAATCCGAACATAAGGCCATGCAGAACTTCTTGGAAGGAAGGCATGCTGCATGGAGGTGTCTGCTCCCATCAGCAGTGTAAGGAGACGGGCAGTCCCTAGCCCAGACATCTGTGGTCCTGTACCTGAGGGGGTTACCAGCAGACTTTCTGACTTCTCCAGCTCAAAACGGTTCTCCATTTCCTCCTGGGAAGCCCCCTCCTCCCGCAGCAGGCTCTCCTGCAGCTGCCTCATGCGTTCCATCAGAGCTTCTATGTCGCGGGCAGCTTCGAAGCCCTGTAGGAAGGACCCAGGAATTACCATCATGGTCCTCTGGAAAACTTCACTCAGATTTTCTACATTCTAGGCCTTCCTGAGTGATCAGAAAGAACTAGCGTGTTTCTGAGCCAGCTACCACATCGGGCAGCACATAGTCTGTGGGTCTTCCACAGGGACGTTCATAAGGCTATAGAAGTGACAAGTGTCTTCTTCACTTGTAATTTACAAGATTTCTAGGTTGGTTTTGTTTGTTTTGTTTTTTGAGACAGGGTATTATTCACTGTGTGACCCTGGCTGTCCTGGAACTTAGGATGTAGATCAGGCTGGTCTTGAACGCAGAGACCGTCTGCCTCTGCCTCCTCAGTGCTGGGATTATGGCAGTTTCTGTTGATTGGTGGTTTTTGTTCTTTGCTTTCTTTTGTTTTTATCTTTAATTTATTTTTATGTGCATTTGTGTTTTGCCTGCATGCATATCTGTGTCATATCCCCTTGAACTGGAGTGGCAGAGTATTGTGAGCTGCCATGGAGGTGCTGGGAATTGAACCTAGGTCTTCTAGAAAAATAGCCAATGCTCTTTGTTGTTGTTGTTTTGTGTTTTGAGACAGGGTTTCTCTGTATAACAGCCCTGGCTGTCTTTGAACTCACTTTATAGACCAGGCTGGCCTGGAACTCATAGAGATCCACCTGCCTCTGCTTCCAGAGTGCTGAGACCCCCGCAGCCTGGCAGCCAATGCTCTTAACCACTGAGCCGTCTCTCCACCACCTGTTGCTTGGTTTTCGGTGCTGTTGCTAATTGAACTCACACAGACTAGGCAAACAGTCACCAAAGCTTAAATTTTGTATAGTCAACTGGACAAAAAAATGTCAGACATGGTAGCTCACTTCTCTAATCCTAGCACAGCAAAAAGATGGGGATACAGGAGATCACCATGAATTTGAGGCTAGCCTGGGCTATTGAGTAAGACCCTGCCTCAAAAATAACAAAACAAAACCAAAAACACGCACAAATAACAACAAAAAGGAGCTGGCATCAAGAGGTGGTGGTGCACACCTTCAATCCTAGTACTCAGGAGGCAGGGGCAGGTGGATCTCTATGAGTTTGAAGCCAGCCTGGTCTACAGAGCATGTTCCAGAACAGACTCCAAAGCTACAGAGAAACTCTTTTTCAGAAGAAAAAAAAATCAGCTCGCACTATGGTCCACATCTGTAGTCTCAGTAGTACTTGGTTCCACAGTAAGTTCAAGGCTATCCCCCGATTAACAATAAACAATCATACAGAAAACCCAGGTGACTGCGATCCTAACAGGCTGTGTGCTGCTGTTGGGTCAAGCACATGGTACATTACGTCTCATCACCCACTGTCTTTATCTCCATGTAGCATAAAAATAGACCCTGAGTTTAAAGCCAAGCAATTTTGCTGTAGCCACTCACTGTGAAGAGACAGGAAAGCCATGTTTCTATTCTCAGAGCAGAGGCTGCACCAGCTTTCTCCCATACCAAAGCAAGATCCAGGACCATGACTTACCCCAGAGTTGTTCAATGGGTCGCCACTTGGGGGACTTCCGTGCTCACTGGGGGGCGAGGGTGCTTGTGAGGCAGGACTGCCCTCTGCATCTCCTTCAGGAAGTATTCCACAGCCAAACACGAAGGAGGCCAGAGAGTGGCAGTGCGTAAGCAGGACCAGAGCTTGGATGAGTTCAGCCAGGGACCAGCTGTGCTCTCCAGTCTTCAGTAAGGCCTGGAAGGGAGAGCGAGCTAACCCACTTAGTGACTGCCCCTGAGCTACCTCAGTCCAGCCCCCAGGCTTCCTCAAGGTCCCAACCCTCCGCCTATCATACCTGGATATGCTCCTTGGTGATGAGCCATGGCCGATGTGCCAGCAACTTGTTGATCTCGCTGAGTTTGCGAAGCTTTTCAGGTGCCCGGTGGAGGCCCAGCAGCCACCCCGGGTCACCGCCAGTCTGCAGGAACTCAGTCATGTGGGAGCCCACCAGGTAAGAACACTGGTGGCGGGCAGCAGCCTATGAAGGGAGTTGATAAGCCTGAGTTACCCTCCTTCCATACCCCATTCTATAAAGATCCCCTGAGATCTAAGAGGCAGAAGAGAAGTCTACGTTCTAACTTCAGCTCTGCTGGCTGGTCATCTGAACCCTTTGCGCCTCAGTTCTCCCATCCGCAAAGCACACAACTTAGAGATGCCGCTCTTTAAAACCTAAAACCCCACGTACGTCATCAGGTAAAACTGAACACTTGCTCTTCACCTAAAAAAATCAACTCAGGAGAGTCCCAGCAAATGAATCTGAAGCTAGAACTACCATTTGGCCACCCCTGCAAGCAGCAGGCCCAGATAAACTTACCATGATGGCAATGTAGTGACGCCAAGGGCTGGCCAGGGGCCCATCTGTATGCAGCAGCAGATAGTGTAGGCGCCAAAAGCTGCTAAGGTAGTCAGGGTGCAGGCCCATCACCACCGCCAGGTTGTCCACCCTCCCTGAAGACATCAGAGCCTCGAGTCCCAGGTGCTGCACCAGGCTCTCAGCTCCTTCCTGAAGGATCTGCTAGGCAAAGAGGAGAGCATGGGTTCCCTTCTGCCCTCTTACAGACCAACTTCCTTTTTGTTTTAAATCTATATAGTTGCATTATATAAATATAATAGTAGAAGACTGAATACTACCATCACATCCAAATGAGGAAACTGATTAAACAAACACTTATTAGGCACTTTATGTAACTTATACATGTCTATCACTGCCCAAGTACTTCCTGTGTATTAACTCACTCAATCCTCAAAACAGCTAGGAAATTAGAGTTCAGTTTTCTCTATTTTTATTTTATAATGAATGTTTTTTTCAATGCTGAGGATCAAACTTATGGCTTCATGAATGTTAGGTGAATATCCTACTATTAAGCTATGTCCCCAGGCCCTTCTCCTCTCCCCTTGTTACCCCCCCCTTTTTTTTAAAAAGTGTTTTGAGACAGGGTTTCTCTGTCCTGAAACTTAAGAGATCTACTTGCCTCTGCCTAGGCAGTGCTGGAATTAAAGATGTGTGCCACCCCCACCCCTTTCTCCCATTTTACACATGAAGATTTAGGCAGAGAAATCAAGACTGTTGGAGACTGGGAAGTGTGGCTCAGTGGTAAAATGAATGCTTAGCATGCATGAGGCCCTGGGTTTGACCCCTGGCAATAAAAAAAAAGAATGTATAGTTTCTCCTGTCTTTATAGGATTTCTCTTCTAATATGGCAAAGGCAGACGGCTGTGGAGAGTAGGGGGAAGTGCAGGACAGTTCACAGGCCCTGAGAGTCTCCTCATAGAGAGCTGTTTAACCTCATGGGACGTTTTCACCACCATGTTTATGTGGAGCTAAGGTTAGAACCCAGGGCTTTGCAGATGCCAGGCAAGCAATCTAGCATCTGCACTGAGGGATACCTCAGCCCCTCTTCCTCTTTTTCTACCTTACCTTCTTATTTATTTATTTATTGTGGAGCCGGGTCCCAAACCCTGGGCCTTGTGCATGGTAAGCAAGTGTTCTATTACTGAGCTCCATTCCCAGCCCTGACTGATTCACTCGTCTAACAGATAGCTATCCAATTATGAATCTCCTTGAGTGTCTGAACTTGTCCTGTGAGGTGAATACTATTATTTCCCCCCCATTAATAGATGAAAAAAACAGATCTGCTGGAAGCCACAGATCTGATAAGTGACAGGAACAGGATTCTCATCTAGATGAACTCCAAGGCCTGTTTCTTTCCTTTTTTTCTTTTTAAGTAAAAGAATAGTTATTTATAAGTGGAAAAAATAAAATTCAAGAGCAATATGTGAGGTTAAAATGGGTGGCTGTTCACCTTACATTACAAAGGAGGGGAAAGAGAACTTAGATGTTTTGTTAGCAGGCCACAAACCATTGACCTACAAGTAAGACAGCATAAATTCAAGGCCAGTCTGATCTGAGTTCTAGGTAGGCCTGGACTAGAGTAATGCCTTCTCAAAACCAGAAAAACAGGAAATGGAAAACTCCATCGCTGTACAACAAATTCCTCTGTATGTGTATTCTAAAGGCATTACCACATTACCCACACACCAGCATGCAAGCTCCACGATGGCAAAGTTTTGTATGCCTTACTCTCTATCCCTGGGTCCTAGGTCAGGCCGGACCCCGAGACACAACTGAATAGCTATCTGTTAAATGAGTGAATGAGTGGGGGGGCTAGGGATGTAGCTCAGCATGGGGAGGAACACTGGCCTGGCATGGATGAGGCACTAGATTAGATTCTTAGCACAGAAAAAAGTAAAGGCGTAACAACGGGCCAGATGCAGTGGCCCACATCTGTGATCCCAGCACGAGGGAGGCTGAGGCAGGAAGATCACTCATTGTGAGCAAGGCCACCCAGGCTACAGAGCTAAAACTTTTTTTGCAAAATCAAAGTAACAACCAAGTGAAGGATGAACCAATTCTCTAGATGAAAGGTGTTCCTGCTGTAAAGAGAAAACAAGCTTTGAACCATGACTTGGTTCTGTTATGGGACCAGAGTGAGCTTGCTTTCCCTGCCCCCCGCCCCGCCCCCTCCCCCCTTTTTGAAAGTCTTTCTCCTTATCCCTGATGGGCTCAGGCTTCTTCAAACCTATAGCAACCCTCCTGCCTCTGCTTTCCCCATCACTAGGATTACAAGCGTGCGCCACTGTGTCAAGAGAAACCAGTGCTCCAGACACCAAAAAACAATAAACAGATGCTAATTTGAAAGCATATGTTTGGTAATATATACACTTTTATAAGTGATCCTGGGTCAGATGAGACATGGATATATCTCATCTTATTATGTAGGGATAAGCACTAGTTTGGGAATCTCAAGTTTGGCCATGTCACTACCATTTCATCTTCCCCTCCATCAAGACAGGGTTTCTCCGTGTAGCCCTGGCTGTCCTGGAACTCACTCTGTAGACCAGGCTGTCCTCAAACTCACAGAGATCTGCCTGCCTCTGCCTCCCAATTGCTGGGATTAAAGGTGTGCATCACCACTGCCCGGGGTTTCAAGAGCTTTTTCATGAAATTCAATAAATCAGGAGTGGGAAAATAAAAGATACTGATCTACCCACCCCTCTTCCAAACTCACCTCCTCTGCTGGAATGAAGGCACTGGGCCCTCTAGGGCCTCGCCGAGCCCGGCCCTCCTGATGCTCCTGTGGAAAAACACATGGTGGTTATTTGGCAGGAGGAGCCAGGGAGTAACATTTAGACCCATTTGGTGAGCAGCAAATGGGAAAGTGGGTAAGAGGGCACAGCAAGGCTGACCCAGCTCAGGAACTCAGCAAGGACCCAGAAACCCCAGCCTGATTGAGTGGGAGAGGCCACAGGAAGGAAATAGACAATTGTCATGTAGCCTATCTCCTCCAGGAGGCCAGTGTCTTTGCAATCATAGATGTCAAAGAGATGGCTTAGTGGGTAAAGGGGCTTGCCAACAAGTGTGAAGATCTAAATTTAACCTCTGGGCACCAGCATGTTAGAAAGAGACCTTACTCCTATAAATTGTCCTCTGATCTCCAACACACACACACACACACACACACACACACACACACACACACACACACACACACACACAACCCAGTGAAGGTTACAGTGAGAAACTGTCTGGGGCTGGGGGGGGGGAGACCCTTTTAAAATAAGAACCCTTTATATTCCAAAGCCAGTTACCACCCTACATGCCTATGAAGAAGCTTCAATTCCTCTCAAATAACCCCCCCCCCTTTCTTCTTCTCTAAGGATGACGTAGGCGTGATGTTTGGCATGCTGGGCATATTCTACACTGAGCTGCACTGGTCATGGCCCTGCAAATGGTCATTTGTTTATCCTTCCCTCCACATTTTCTAGGCTATCACCACTCTGTGCCTCTCCAACTGTCCCTGCCTGCACATCCCTGCCCTCTCCCATCCATCCATCCACTATCCAGTATCCATCTGATACCCAGTAACCAGATTAACTTTCTGGAGTATGAATGGATCCAGTCACTGAAAACCCAACCTCCCCTTACCGAAAGCTCTCACATTTCAGTCACATCCCCCTTGGAACTTTTTCCCGGGTCTACTGTCTGCAGCCACACAGTTCCCGGTGTTTCTGCCTCCACAAACACCTTCCACTAAGGGCCTCTTCTAAGCTGCTTTGCTCCCACATCACATTTTGTGGTGAGCGGGGCCAGGTCATTCATTCTGCTCGGTGAATGAAAACAGAAGGCAGAGCAGAGTAGGGGGACTCCAAGTGGGATGTGCAGGCTAGTGGTGGCAGCTATTCTGACTTGAGGTTATTTGAACCAGAGCCATGTATTCAATGAAGCTGCTTCTCCTGCTCCTAGAGACAGAGTCTGGGAGGACATTCTATTTATTCATTTAGTTTCTGAACGTCAGCGTGGGGTTCTCCACACCAGCCTTGACATAATTGATCCAAATAACAGTTCTGCCTTCATTACAAAGGGACTGTCCCCCAGTCCTTTCTCCTGGTGAGATCTAGGTTTAATACTTTAGATGTTCAAGAACTCAAAACTACACTCTAGCCTTTTTTTTTTTTTTTTTTTTTTTTTTTTTGGTGAAAGTGGCCAAAAGTCCCCTAAAGAGAGACAACCTCTGAATTCTATAAGATGACGAAAGAAAGAAGTAAGGTGTCTAGAGGCCTAGGTCAGTGTACTGGTTCTGCTGCTAATTTGCTGGGTGGTTTGAGAAAGTTACTTAAGTTCTCTGGGTCTGAATTCTAAGGACAAAAGGGGACCAGGCTGTTCCTTTCAACTTATACTTTTTTTATTTTTTGAGAGAGGGTTTCTCTGTGTAGCCCTGGTTGTCCTGGAACTCAATCTGCACACACCAAGACTGGCCAGAACTCAGAAGATCCACCTGCCTCTGCCTCTAATGCTGGGATTAAAGGCTGGCGCCACTACCCTCCATGGAGGCCTTCAACCCACCCTTCTAAGAGGCAGCAGGTTAGGCTGGTCTAAGGGCATGCAGAAAGACCATAATCCCAAGTACTTCCTTTACAGCTGCCCTCCTCCCTCACTTGAGAAAATGCCCAACAGCTCTGTCTGGGAGATAAGAGTTGCTGACTCCACTAGACTGGGCCTCCCTCACTGCAAAGGACCTGAGGACAGACAGAAAAAGCTAAGTGTGGCCAGGCCAAACACCTGTAATACCAGCACTGGGGATGCAGCTGAGGCAAGAGGACTAGGAGTTTGAGGCCAGACTGGGCTACACAGTGAGACGCTGCCTCAAAACAAACAAAACCACTGGGGTGTATGTGGAATATGCAAATAGTAAATTCTAAGATGAAAAATTTAAATGAAAAGGTGAAAAAGGAAACCCCAGCAGCACAGGCAGAGAAATAAGGGCCTCTAGATGTTCCGGGAAGAGACAGGGAACTGATTTGGAATTGTCTGAGCCAAGAGCACAGGGAGGAAACGATACCCATGGGTCCTAAGTGATGTTCTAGACCCATCAGCGTTTCCCAGAAAAATAAGTAATTACAATGTAGAGTACAATTAAAGATAGGAGCTTTAGAGGCTGGGACCACAGCTCCTCTGTAGAGTGCTGCCACGGAGGGAGCTGGAAGTGCAGCCCAAGTAGCCATGCCCAGTCTGTACAAGGCCCTGAGTTCAAGGCTTAGCACAAATAATAAATAAAACACAAATGAATAGCTCCACCCACCAGCTAGCTATGTGAGCCTCAGTTTCCTTCCGGGATCATGGGGCTTTCGTTGGGTAGTCACAAGATTTTTTTTTTTTTTTTTTTGGTTTTTCGTGACAGGGTTTCTCTGTGGCTTTGGAGGCTGTCCTGGAACTAGCTCTTGTAGACCAGACTGGCCTCAAACTCACAGAGATGCGCCTGCCTCTGCCTCCCGAGTGCTGGGATTAAAGGCGTGCGCCACCAACGCCCGGCCTAGTCTCAAGATTTAATGGGACTAAACCACAGGATTTTTACCTCAGTGCCTCCACCAGGGAGAGCACTTGATAAAAGTCTCCTGTCCTTAATTTCATTGTTATTTCAAACAAGAGCCTCTCTGCCCCAGAGTCCATTAGAATCCCTTTGTGAGTTTTTTTGTTTTTGTTATGGAACCCAAAGCCCCACCTCCAGCAATCCTTATGGGGAGGGAGGAGGGAGGACCTGTTTGTGCCATCCTTGTTTTGGGTACAAGCACAATGCTGAGTGCTTTCCAGGTAGAATCAGAGTTATTTCTTCATTTGACAATTTTCTGACTGTATTATAGGCAGTATGAATTACAGCTGTGAAAAGACAAAAATCACATCCAGCTTTCGTATCATTTCAGTTCCCAGGGAGAAAGCAAACAAATGATGAGCAGGCTGAAACAGCACAGTGAGTAATGGCAGGGTGGGAGTGTGTGCAGTATTTTAGTTTAAAACAGGACAGGAAAAACTACTGGGGCGGCAGATGACCTTTGAGGTAGGTTGCAAAGGCAGCGGAGCCTGTGAAGATGGAGAGGACCAGTGTTCAGCTATGGGGGACGCTGGAACATCCTGAATGCAAGACTAGGGTTTGAAATCCATGGCTCCAGTATCCGGAATGTTTCCTTAACCTTGACATCAGGGCAAGTCCTGGGAAAGCTGTAGGAGCAGGCTCTTACTGCCAAGAGGTGACACCACCAAACCAGCCCCCCTCCCATTCCCTGGGACAGACAGTCAATAACAATGTTGAGTAATAACAGGATTAGGTATTCCCTGGTTCCAATGGCATAATCACTGACCTCACATGTACTATCAGAACTTGAAGGTAAAAACTACCACTAAAGTTTTACAGATGAGGCCTGCAAGTCACTTCTGGTCACTCGGTGAGGAAGGAAGTAGGAGAGGTGAATACAGACCAGGTTCCTATCAGCGTGGATGTTATTCCCCATTCTCAACAACCAAGGTTTATACTAACCAGCACCCAGAGTTTCCCAAGAATGAGAAATCCCTTATCTGCTCAGGGCCTTAGGAATTCACCACCTGCCCCCAAACACCTTCCACAGGGACTCTGCCTTAAGGGCACAATGGATCTAGTTTCCTGTTGCTGCTCTTGTGTCTAGCACTAGTGCAATAGAACTTTTGGGGCTACAACTTCCCCTTCTGACTTCAGTGGGCACCTGCACACATGCACATATCTACACATGCACACCCCTACCACACACGCATATACATACATACATACATGCATGCATACATACATAAAATTAAAAAGAAAATAACTTTTGTTTTGTTTTTTTGAGATATGGTTTCTCTGTGTAACAGCCTTAGCTGTCCTGGAACTCTCTCTTTAGACTAGGATGGCCTTGAACTCAGAGATCTGCCTGCTTCTGCCTGGAATTAAAAACATGTACCACCACCACTGCCCAGCTCAACAAAATAACTCTTAAAAAAAAAAAAAAAAGAGCCGGGCGTTGGTGGCACACGCCTTTAATCCCAGCACTCGGGAGGCAGAGGCAGGCGGATCTCTGTGAGTTCGAGGCCAGCCTGGTCTACAAAGTGAGTTCCAGGACAGCCTCCAAAGCTACAGAGAAACCCTGTCTCGAAAAACCAAAAAAAAAAAAAAAAAAGAGAGAGTTCAGAGACTGGAGAGATGGCTCGGCAGTTGCTCTTCCAGAGGACCCGGGGTTCAATTCTCAGCAGCCTCATGGCAGCTCATAATTGCCTGTAACTCCAATTTCAGGGGAGCTGACATCTTCATAGACATATATACAGGCAAAACACAATGCACATGAAATAAAAATAATAAATTATTTTTAAAATGTCTCTAACAGATTGGCCAGTGGGCAAGTTTGTGGGACATTTTCCTAAATTAAAAAAAAAGGGGTACAAATAGAACTTTCTACATGGGGGATGTTTTGCATCTGACTTGTCTCATACACATGCTGGTCCCTAGTGGCTCTTCATGCCCAGACATTTGAAATGTGACCACAACACAAAAATCTCGATTTTTGCTTAATTTGAATTTAGCTTAATTAGTTAATTTTTTGAGATGAAGTTTCAATATGTAGCCAGTCTGGATTAAAACTTTCAATCCCTCTGCCTCTACACCACACTAATTCTAAATTGTTTTGTTGTTTTGAGACAAGGTCTCACTTTGTAGCACAGGCAGGCAGGGGTGGAACTCATTTTGCAACTTTGAACTCAGAGCAAGACTCCTAAATGCTGGGATTACAGATGTGTGCCATCATGCCTGGAGTTACCAGCACTAAGTTATGTCAGACGTGGCAACTGAGGGTCAACGGAGGGAGGGCAAGAACAATGAAGTCAGACAGCTCTTTGTGGAAGACTCCCTAGGGGGTCTTTAGACCATTGATTGGTAAAAGGGACTACATGCCTCAGGGAACGTGGCCTGGCTCCTAACTCAAGTGCTTGCTAGACAGTAACTGTTGTGTTAAACCCAAGAGTTCCGCCCTATTTACATCTTATCCTTATCAGTTAGTAGGTTGTGGGGATTATCTTGCACAGAGGAGTCAATTAAATGTGTAAAAATCAACTAACAAGTGTCTAAAGTGCAATTTGAGCCCAGAAATGCCTGGTACGGCCAAGGCCCTTTCCACTCTACCATAACAGTTTCTGGAAATGGCACCAGACCTGGTCATTTAAACCCAACACAAACTGACTTCCCAGCTGTATTGGCCCCTCTGAGTAGCCCAGCTTTTGTTCTTGTTCTCTGGAGTCGGCCAGCCCCAGGACTCAGCTGGAGACACCTGCTAAGTCATTCTGCCAGCTGGTAAGGTCTGGCACTGCCCACTTATCTGTCAGCTGAATCCAGTGCCCACTTATCTGTCAGCTGAATCCAGATAGGAGCCCGGGTTTATGCCTGAGGTGAAGGCATAGCAACAGCCCTAGCATAGAGGCAGACAGCTTGGACTGGGGCCCCAGACTAAAATGCTTTACATATTTGATCTCACAAGCACCGATTTCCTCTCAACCACCCTGAGAAAAACAGAATTTGTCCCCTCTTTAGAGACCAGTGACCAAAGCTCAGAGTGGTCCCTGTCTGGCCTGGCACAGTTCATGTGGGATTTCAGAGACTCAACAGTCGACAGGGGTTAGTTAAGCACTTAGTCACAAAGAAAGGTGAGCCCTGCAAGGGTCACTGATTCGGGAGAGGAAGGCAGGAAGGCCTAGCTTATGTGGAGCTAGCTCACAATGGAGAAGGGACTAGAAACAGTATCTGGTGGGGAAAGAAAAGCTTTTCCAAGGAAGTGACTCTTTGAAGAAGTTATTCTAGAATCCAATATGTTTTTTATTGTTTTGTTTTGTTTTTTGAGACAGGGTTTCTCTGTATTGTTTTAGAGGCTGGCCTGGAACTCACTGTGTAGACCAGGCTGGTCTTGAACTCACAGGGATCTGTCTGCCTCTGCCTCCCACCACCCATATGGTTTTGAAAACATACAACCCAAGACAAGAGTCGGCCCCTTGGAACTTTCTGGAGACAGGCATATCTGAAGGCTTGACAATCTGAAGGTGGGTCTGAAACAGACCCTTCCTGAGTCTTGAGGACTACATTTCCTGGCTCTTTCTTTTGTATTTATTTAAGTTTTTTGAGACAATTTCTCTGTGTAGCCCTGGCTGTCCTGGAACTGGCTCTGTAGACCAGGCTGGCCTTACATTCAGAGATCCTCCTGCCTCTGCCTCCCAAGTGCTGGCATTAAAGTTGTGCGCCACCACTGCCCAGCAGATTGTCTTTTCTTGAGGGAGCAGAAGATACGAATGTTGCAAGCATTACCAGCTTTTTCCAGCGCTGTACAGTGACTTTTTAAAATCCAGTGTTGAGGGACACCTGTAATCCTAACACGCAGGAGGCTGAGCTGGGAAGATGGTCATGAGGTCAAGGCCAGACTGTACTAGAGAGTGAGACCCCGTCTCAAAATGGTGGGATTGGGAGAGGATTCCTCTAAGGCCCCCCATCTCCCTGACCACCTGAGAATTTCTTCCCTACCAGGCACTGTGGGGAGAGATATGTCCTGGCTCCCCCCCTCAGGCAGCAGAGAATAGACTCAGGAAGTCTCTTGAGAGGCACTGGGGGTGGGGAGGGGATGTCTGCTAAGCCAATGTGACAGAAGCTAGCATTTTAATGCAATGGCATGTTCCCCGTGATAAATATGTTCCAGGCACACTGCTTCAGGCCTTTGCTTGTATTTTAAGCTAATTTCTTCAATGATCTCTTGGAGATACCATTAAATCTTTATGCAAGAGACTGCAGTCAAAGTGACCACTTGGCCAAGATAACCCAGCAAGAAAGTGGAGGGTGGGACCAGAATCCAGTATTCGCCCCAATGCTCAGGTGTTCATATGGACAACATCGTCCACAAAGCAAACAGACAAAAGTGACCAGAAAAGAATAGGCAGAAGCATGGGGTTGTTTCTTTACACAGATTCCTAAATCATTCGAAGAATCCACCAACTACTGGATGGAGAAACCCCAGATATGGGCAGGGATTTTCTGAGGGTCCTGCACACACCTTAGGACTGGTCTGTCAATACACCAGCTCTGGCGATATACCTTCCACTGTTCTAGACTTAGGAAAAAGGAAAACAAAGAGGAATTATCTTCTGCAGTGCCAAGCATTCTCCCAAATCCTAGACATACACAGGCCAAGGAATGAAGGTTAGGTGAAAGAAGCCTCTCTCAGCCCTTTTGGCCCTCAGTTTTCTCACTCTGTAAAATGGGGCTACACTACAGTTTGTATTTGTTGTCTTGGTCAGACAAAACCTGTACCCTAGCATACAGTAGGCTCTCCATAAATAATAAACGACGTTCATTTCCGAGGCTGCTGGAAGGAAAAGGGAGGCTTTAAAACAGCATTATATCTTGCCTCCCTACAAAGTCCCTCTCCTCTCGGAGGAGACGGCAAAACAAACTTTGATGAACCTAGAACATTTTAAAAGGGAGCAGCCCGAGACTCGTTAGTCTTCGGGAGTCGGGACCAAGGGTTATCCGCTTTCTCCCCCAGCTCTGGCCGCTGCCGCCCAGTATCAGGCGGCCAGCCAAACCCCTAAAGCACTCCGGGCAATTTTCAGATCCGAGGTGGGGACTGGGGAAGGGGAATCGATCTTCGCTGGTCAGTCCCAGGTGGCTCACTCCCTTTCTGGATCCGTGCACAAACCGCTCCTAGAAAGAGCTCCCTGCCGGCCTGCCCCCACCCAAAGGAAGGGAATCTGCGGAAGGGGGCGGGGAGGAGGAGTGGTCGGGTCTCTCCGGCCGGGATTTGCCTGGACTTGAAGACGATAGCTCCCCTAGAGCACGAACCCAGAGAGCCACGAGGAGGCGTCCCCTCTCATTGGCCAGGAGTCCGAAGGACCCAGGGAGGGCTCCGCAGCCCTCCCCCCTCCCACCCCGAGTGTGGAGGGGGCGAGGGCAAGGGGAGGGAAGAGAGACAGAGGAGGCTGCAGTTGATGCAACCCTAGTCCTGGCTTACGTGCTCCCAGACCCTAAGCCCGGTGGGCGCTCCAGACTTAGCTCGGGATAGCCCGAAGCTCGGCTGTGGCTGGAGAAGAGCACTGTCGCCCGACTGCTGCTTACCTCTCGGGTCCCGGGGCCCGCGACGCCGCCCCTGGCGAACGGCAGGTAGCCCTTGATCTCCGCACGGCACTCCGAGTCCGCAACGATCATGGTGTCCGCCAGGACCCAGCCGCGGCTCGTCCGTGCCTGGGGCACCCGAGGGGGTCTGGGGAGAGCGCTCGCAGGAGGCCGGGGCTAGGGGTCGCCGGGGAAGCTCGAGAACCCCGGGGTGTCTCTCGGGATACCGAGAACCGGCGCTACCACGCCACTCCTTCCACCCCGGCTGGAACTGCGGCTGGCCTCGGAGGCCTGGGGTTGGCCGCGCAGCAGGGGTTCTCACGGCCCGGAGTGCCTCGGAAGTCCGCAGTGGCCAGCGCTGCTCACTAAGCCGGCGCTCCTCAGCATCCCCACCGCGGAACTGCCAGCGCTCGCCGGGCTCTGTCAGCCCGCTGCGGTCCCTGAAGGAGGGCGGGGACAAAAAAGCCCCAAGGAGCAGCCAATCAGATGCCTGTTTCTCGGGGAGGCGGGGCTGACACCCTCCGGAGCCAACCGTCTCTCCAATCAGCATCGAGAAGCACCTGGGAACTCTGGGAGCTGTAGTTGGCCTCGCACAGATGCTGCAAACTTTTGCAAGAAGGGTTAGTCAGACCTCTGTCAATACCAGATGAGAGTGACAGCCCAGGGAGTCATTAGGGCTGCGTGATGAAACGGGACTTTACCGGGCTGGGCCAGACAGCCAGGTGCGAAATCCCTTCCGAGTAACTTCTTCAGCTTTCCAGTTCCCGGAGGAACTGGTTAAGGCTGCAGATAGCCTAACACATCCACTTGTTTAATTATAGATCAAATATCACATATTTGAAGGTCAAGATCCACCACCTTGTCACCTCAGGTCTTGAGAGATTTGCACCTTCAGAAGCACTGGAAAAGCCTCCTTGAAAAACGCCTTTGGCAATCTCAACTTTAATCTCAGTCCTTATTGCTACAGTTTACCTTCTTCTGCTCTGCCTGGATGCCTTCACTCCTGCCTTCCACCCTTCAGGCGCTCCTGAAAACGTTGTAACTTAGGTGTTTGGCTGGGTCTATTCTCACTTCTCCCTCTGGCCGCTCCTCTTTTCCTTCCACTCCCTAAACATGGGTGCTCCCTTAGTTTCTCTTTTTATCCCTCTTATTTCTAGACACTCACCCTCATCACTTCTGGCTCTCATCTGTCCTTTTGAAAGGAGATTGGCTCTTCCTTCTCGCCCCCCTCCCCCAGCACTTTAAGCTTGATTCACCCATTCATATCGAGCAATCTCATCCTTCATTTTGTTGTTGTTGTTTTGTTTTTCAAGACAGGGTTTCTCTGTATTGCTTTGAAGGTTGTCCTGGAACTTGCTCTGTAGACCAGGCTGGCCTCGAACTCAAAGAGATCCGCCTGCCTCTGCCTCCCGAGTGCTGGGATTAAAGGTGTGTGCCACCACCAATGCCTGGCCACTCTTTTTCTTTAAGCCTCTGGTTTTTTTTTGTTTCAATTTAAGTTCTCTTTATTCTGGTCAAGGAGTCCTGGACAGAGCCAGAGCTGACTAGTCCTTTCAGATCCCCTCTGAAATAGTCCGAGTTTAGACTTATGATACCAATAATGATCTTCTGTCTAGGTCTAATGCTTCTAGCTTCTGTGGAGAAGGGAGTTTGCATACCCTTCCTAAGCTACCCAAGCACTTGGGCTGGGCCTTTCTCTCCTCTCTGCATTTTAATACCTTTCGTACTTTATCTTGTATTATCATTTTCTGTGAATTTGTCTTCTTTGAAACTTTTGATTAGAAACTCATTGAGGACAGGAGCCATATTTTGACATCTGGCACAATGTCCTTCTAGTAACATACCCTTGGTCACTGAATGTCCCTTTGGGTTAAATTCTCTTCTAAACAACTGTATATCAGATTCAGCTTTCATTTTAAAAACATATACTCTGTGGGCTGGAGATGTGCCCTAGTGTTACAGGATTCCATTAGGATCCCAACTCCTTGGGTTCTAGTCCCATTACCACACAGACACAGAAACAAAAATGACTATAATGTAAATGGCCAGGTCAAAAAAAAAACCCCAGTGGTATTTCATCAGCTATAGAACGAAGCTAGCCCTCTAGGTTGATCCTCAAGGCCTGCCAAGATAAGTTTCAACCTAACTCTTCAGGCTTATCTGTCACACCCATGATCCTTCACCTTTTCGATACTACTTTCTGCAAGTTCTACCCACTGAAGTACTGTAGAGAACTCAGTGCCTTTATTCTGTTTGTGGCCTTCAAGATGTCACTTCCTCCAAAAGCCTTCTTCAGCTCTACAGGAAGGCGTCTTGCCCACTCCTCAACACCTTCAACCTCTTTCTAGCCCTGTTTTCCAAACTCACCAAGCTTCATTACCATGTTTACAAGTCTTACTGCTTCGTTCCAGCTAATGGGCTATATCACCAGCCACTCACACTTCAGTTTAGAAAGGTAAAACTGATTGTCTAGATCACACAGCATCTTCTTTTGGCTGCATTAAGCTGTGGACAGCTTCATTTAGGGCAGCAATCATGTCTATATTTGTATCTTTCACCCCACTGGCATGTGTATTTAATACTTCTGTGCTGGGAATGAAATCAGAGTCTCATACCTGCTAGAAAGTGCGCTGCTGAGATACTCCCCCCAACCCCCACCCCACCCCCACCCTGCCCCCACCCCCCTGTACATATTTTCAAATGAATATGAGTTGTCTTCATAAGAATAATCCTTTAGCATCTGGGTGGTGGTGATGCACGCCTTTAAGCCCAGCACTCCAGAGGCAGAGACAGGTAGATCTCTGTGAGTTTGAGACCAGCTTGATCTACAAGAGCCAGTTCCAGGATAGGCTCCAGAGATACACAGAGAAGCCCTGTCTTGGGGGGGGAAAAAAAACAAAGAACAAAGAATAATCCTTTAACAAAGTTGGGCATAGTAGCACATTCCTGTAATCCCAGCATTCAGGAGGCAGAGAGAGAAAATCACCAAGGAAAACCTAAGCTACATGAAGGGACCCTGTCTAAAAATAAAGGGAAATTGACGTTCTGATCTTTAGAGATGTGATTATAGGTTGCACTTACAAGGACAATGATGTTGTGGAGGAAAATCAGAAGACACTAGTAGTCTAAAGTGAAGGATCTTTTGTGATCCAACTTCCACAGAATGAAGGCAGAGGAGATATAGGCTTTGAAAATTATTCAGCTCTACCAATGAGAGTCCAGCATATACCTATTATCCCAGTATACCTCTCACCCCATCTTCCTTAAGTAGGCTTTCTGTCCCCACTTGGCAGATGACAAAACTGACGCTCTCAAGAGGTGTGCTGGCCGAGGTCAGGTGGCTTGATAATATGCAGAGTGTTCAAAGGCAGTATGACTCCCTAGCAGAAACTGCCACACCAGTGATGACAGAAGGATGTGAGTACATCTAAGAGGCAGGCTGGCACTTGCAATTGCTGCCTAAAGCAGATATATTAATTAGGAGTAAGAAATATAACTGTAAAGTGGCCTATACTGGGTGTGTCAGCTCATTTTTGTGACAGGGCTTCTATGGGAAGCGAAGAGATCATTTGGAGATGGCTAGGACAGTAGAATCTGAGCCAGAGTAACCAGTGTGGAGATGGGGGAGAATCTCTGAGTGAGAAATCTGCTCTCCCCCTTCCTCTTTCATTTAGTAAGTATTTTTGATCATGCAGTGTGTGCCAGTAGCTGGGCTAGGCACTGGAAGCCCAGCAGTGAAGCTACAAGCCGGCAAGGAATGGGGAGGTGTGTGACACTGGGTCCCTCCCCTCCCCCACGCCTTGCATTTTTGGTTCAGGCAAGGCTTTCTTCCTCCTGTTGCCATACTCTCTGGACTGTTGAATCAGCTGCTTTAAGGCCAATGATTGGTCAAAGCTATTTTTATTCCTCAATCATACTGCAGTCCTGAAGACACGTCTAGATCAGATTTGAAATGTTTCTGAGTCTTCTTTAGCCTCGGATCTTCTCAGATTATGAACCTAATGGGATTCTCATTTTTTTTTATGAATTAATTTTGTGGCATCAAATTCTTGGATTACTTTAATAAAATGACCTTACATTGTGGCCATTTCAGGGGCTGAGTTATCACTCCTCGTGTCTTTTTTTTTCTTTTTTCTTCAATCTCTTATTGTTTTCCAGTTTCAGTCTCCAATTGCAGAACATAATTTCTGCCCAGGGAAATCTTGTCAAAAAGAAGCCTTGCTCTGATTGGTTTGCTAAAGCCAAAGGAGACAAGACACTCCACAAACCTACCAAAAGCTTACTCATACCTCACACATTATTCAGGTATTGTGTGAGGTTTTGATCAAGGTCCTGAGCTGACAAAACCACCACCAACCCAGACTTAGTTCCTTCGAGTTGGCACAGATTCTCAGAAACAGAGTCAACAAACCTAACAGCATTTTTGAGGAGTCCCGCAACTCAGACACTCGTTTTTATCCTTTATTCACCAAACTGAACCTGTTCTTTTCCCAACTCTTAAAACCTGTTTCATTTCTTCCTTTCCGTCCTGGAACTCGTGTTGTAGACCAGGCTGGCCTCGAACCCAGAGATCCACTTGCCTAGTTGCTAGGATTAAGGACTTGTGCTACTACCGCCTGGTTAGAATCTGATTTCTTAGCTACAAAACCAAGGAATTTCAGAAAGAGCCCTCTCTCCAGTCACCGTGCAGATAACTGGTGTTTTCCAGATGACGTCACTTCCCTCGACTGCACATTTTGTATAGAAAACTTCAAGTTTGGAAAAGCTCATCCTTCTTAATAAAATACGAAAGCTAACCTACTACTCTGTGCTTTCTGGCAATCGGCTGGACTTTTCTAATTTAATCAGTTGAGCGGGCCCGCAGCGCCACCTGCAGGCCAGATCTTGCTACAGCTCAGCCACCGTTGACTGAAAAAGACCGACAAGGCCTCTCCAAATGATTCGGT